TGCATGCAAGCGCGGCAGGAGACGAACGAACGCGATAGTATAAAGTGCGACAGGGGGCGCCTGTGGAGATGGATGGGGTTGGGGATTTGAGTCCAGGCTGTCTGTCTGGCTGTCACGTATGTACTGTAGCTACGGTATGAGGGGGAAACGCACTGCTGTGCGTAGGGTAGAGGAGTACCACGTCGCGGGCGTAGGGTTGATACCCGGGGGGAGGGGAGGGAGGGGAGGGGAACCAGGGAGGGGGGGTTAAAGGTGCAGGACCGGTTTATGGAGAACTTGGGAGGCGGCTCTCGCGGACGGGGTGGCGATGAGGTGAGGTACGTAGTACTTGGGCTTGGAGTGTGGGTGGGTGGGTGGATGGGTGGTACGGGTGCCTGCCTAACTTACGGATTGGGGAGGAGGGTTCGATAGAAGAAGAAGCCTGGCTGGTTGGTACTACGTACGTAGTATGTATGCGATCCGGTGTCGGGGGTGCGGGCGTTCATACTACTATCTGCTTCTTGAGGGCGGCAGCGTAGGGTAGGTACCGGTAGGTAGATGGGTGAGGTGGGTGAGGTAGGTAGGTAGGTAGCTTGCGTGTGAGAAACCTTTTCTGTGAGAGAGGTAAAGCCGATTGATTGATTGGCTTTGGCTTTGGCTTTGGCTTTGGCTTTGGCTTGAGCGGTTTGCGATCCGCTACTAGTCCATCGATAGGTACAACGAATGCAACGCGGAGGGGAAAAGGGGAGAAGAGCTCAGCCGGCTTAGGCGGACAGAGGACGAAGCTACGAAGCTAGGTAGTAGTATATCGGCGGAATGGTCGCATGCGATCATCCGACGCGGGCGATTTGCTTCCTTGGTACGGCAATATACTACGTACGTAGTACTATAACTGGGTAATAAGGTACGTAGCTTGCATCTGCAGGGCTTTCTTAGTCGTACATCCTTCGATAAACTTTTGCTCAAGCGATTCAAATCGGTGAAATCTGCACGGCGTAGAACGTAAAGCCATGATAGCTACGTAGTATATCTATAGCCAAGTACTACTAAGTATCTTCGAAAGCTTCAAAGCGTTAACCAATGCATAATAGAGCGCTACTAAGCTGTTCTCTAAAGCTCCGAGACGATTCGATCCAGATTAACTACTACGTATTATGTTCACTATCGTGTTAGGTTCGGGCTTGCGTATAGACGCGTATCGGTAGCGTGACGTTTCCACGCTCTACATTACTCTCTAGCTTCGACTGGAGAGAAATACTCAAACCCTGTACCTCTGTATATACCTACTGTACTTATGGCAGAAGACCAAGCGCGTAAGGGGGCCCGAATGAGTTCATTAGCCAGAAGGTAATCCCAACCATGCCCATCGGAAATGGAAAGTGAGGAAGGCAGGTGTGCCCAGGGCGAATCCGGCAGAGCACAGAACAGGGTTTCCCTGCATTGTCCAAAAAAAACAAAAACAAAAAAAAAAAAACCAGATTGTCTATCAAGCAGCTGCAGAGCGGGTGCTGCTGATGAGCCTGGACGCACATGCTGTCCCGCACTCTTTGTCGGCCGTCGGTCAAATTTGAAAGGGAGACCGTGACTGTTACCGCTCCAGCTACGTACGTCCTCCATTCTGAAGCCAGAAGCGAGAGCACGCTGTACCGTTCGAGGCGTCACAGTCTCGAGAATCGGCGTCGCGGTAAGCCACGAGCTCTGCTCGGCATACAGTACGTACGTATCCCAGCGAGTCGAGCGCTTCGGTCCCCGATCGTGGCAATTCCAGGAGCGTGGGAAAGGAGGGGGGGGGGTGGGGGGGG